GCGCGCCCGCGTTCTCTCTTCCTGGCGGCGGCGGCGGCGGCGCGCGCCCCCTCCCCCCACCTTTCGCGCAGGCTCCCGCCCGCTGCGTGTTTTGTCCCGCGTCTCGCCCCGTCCGTCTCTTGACTCGCCGCTCTTGTCCTTCCTCCCGCTTTTTCTTCTCTCTCCTCTGGGTCTCAAAGATGCCCTCGGCCACCAGCCACAGCGGAAGCGGCAGCAAGTCGTCCGGACCGCCACCGCCGTCGGGTTCCTCCGGGAGTGAGGCGGGGGCCGGGGCAGCTGCGCCGGCTCCTCAGCACCCAGCGTCCGGCACCGGCGCGGTCCAGACCGAGGCCATGAAGCAGATTCTCGGGGTGATAGACAAGAAACTTCGGAACCTGGAGAAGAAAAAGGTGCCTGGAGTTGGGAGGGGCAGGGCTTGCGACGCCCCGCTCCGCTGGGTCCCGCGCCCGCGCGGTGGCCGGGAGCTTGGTGCCCGGAAAGCGGGCCCCGGGGAGGGGCCTGTCACCTGACCCGGCCGGCGCTGCCCCGGGCCTCGGTGACTCCTGTAGCGGGTCCGGCTGCGCGCTAACCGCGGGTGGAGAGGAGGCCAGGGTGGGGGCCTGTCGCCGCGCTCCGGGTCCTCGAGGCCCCGTGCCGGCGACGGCGGCGCAGGATGCGGCCCCGGGGAGGGGGCTCGGGGTCAACCGCCTGCCTGGTGCAGTTGGGGCGGCGTGTGCCCCGTGTCGTGGGATCGGCCGCTCCGTTACGGTGCGCTCAGGCCGGTCGCGGGGCCCCCGGCCTTCCCGAGGAAGAGGCGTGCGGGAGTCTCACCGCGCTGGGACTGCCTCCGGTCGGGCCCGTTCCGCGCCGCCCCGCGCTGGCCGCCCCCCGCCCCGCTCGGATGGAGTCCCCCGCGTTTCCCTCTTTGTTTGAATTGTCTCGGTGACCCCGGGAGCCTCAGGCTCAGCCCCCGCCGCGAGATGGTTTTCTGCGGCGACTTTCTGCCCCTGGGGGGACCCGAAAGGGGCAGGGGGCTGCGGCGATTGAGGCCGGTGGGAGGCCGGGTGCGGGTTGGACGGGCGCCGTCCCTCGGCCTCTGGGCACATGGAGAGTGTGTCTAACATGGCGGCGGCTGCGGGGAGAGGGAAGCGCTGTACAGGAGCTGCATTGTGAGCACAAAGCGAAAGCAGCGGGGGAGGGCGCAGACCCGGCGGCCGCCCGCCCGTCTCCTCGACCCCCCCTCCAAAAAAAAAAATCGAGCCACACCCACTTTTTTTTTGATAGCATGGATAGCCATTCTGGGTCTTAGGGTGAGAGATGTGTGCTCAACTCGGTCTTTTGTTTTCCGCTTTCAGCGCAGGACAGTGTACAACTCTGTTTAAATAGGGGCGCTTGTGTGTGGTCCGAAAGGGTCTGAGTGAATAATTCAAACCTAAGGTGAACGATGAAAAGGAGAAAACAAATGATTCGTATCAGAAGTGGGACAGTTGCGTGCGACAATAATTATGCAGGCTAATTTGCCTTTTTCCTTAAAAAAAAGTGAAATAGAACTTTCCTTTGACAACTTCTGGTTGCCCACCTCAAGTGTAGCATTACAACATTTTGAGTTTTGAAGAAGTCACATTAAAATGTTTATTTAGCTAATCACCTTATAATGTTATTAAAGTAACATTTTGGGTTTTGAGACAGTAACAGTTTGGCTGAAAAATTGGGGCTGTGGGAAATGAATGGAAAAAACCGATGATACTTAGGTATTAATGATTTTAATTATTTACTCAGGTATTTTATGTTTGTGGAGAGTTTTAGAACAAACATTTAGCCTAAATACTTTTTATGTCATTTCCTTCAATATTGAAGTTTGGAGATTTTACTTGAATTTCCTGGACTTTATTTATTTGACATTGACAGATTCCTTAATCTTGAGATTTCTAGTTTTTTTTGATAATTGTTTGATATAGAAGTGTTTTATTAGAAATAATGGAATAATAGACATTGACAAGCTAATAAAAGTATTTTAAGCATAAAATAGGTACCTTCAAGTGTGGAACAGAGTAAGGGTGTCTTAAAACCGTATCTTTTAAGCCTTCATGTGTGATTTAGTTTTTGCAACTCTACTTGAAATTGAGACTAACTTGAGTATCTTTAAATCCATGTAATGCATTAAACAGGTACTTTCAATCCTGTGATTGGTTTACTTGTCAGAATTTCTGGGAAATCTTCTAGAATAGGAATCAGCAGAAATATTTGTGATGTAATATTTTATAGACATATTAGGGACTAAAAAACAGCTTTTCGAAGGTGACCATAAAATCAGGTGCTAGTTAGCAGCCAATCTACGAGGTGACAAATTTTGGTGTTCATGTACATGTGGGGGAAAAAAATCTAGAAAATTGAGTAAGTCCCATGAGAGGACTTGAACTATAGTTTGTCAGTGGTGAATATATGCCCATTACTTGCTATACAGTGACATCCTTTCCCCCAAAATTAGAAGAGAAAGTAGTGTAATTAATTATTACAGGGTTTATTGATGGGGCTTATTAAAGGTTGTCTTGTAATGATGGAGATAAACAAATGGAAAAAAATAAATAGTATTATTTCTCTGTCTCTGGGTGCTAATTAGAGAAAAGGTCAAGTTACACTTAGGTGAGACTTTGATAAGCCACTTACTGAGCTACGTACTTAGTAAATAGTTGACAGTACTGATGTAGCTTTAAAACTACGTATTTTACTTTTTGGGAAATTCAAGGCGTTTGGATTTTCCCCTTAATTAAGGTTTTTAGTTTTTTAGGTTTTTTTCCTGTAACTACATGATTTGCTGTGGGAGAGGATTTAATAACTGATTCACTTTTCAATAGAAGTAAACATTTCTTTTTCTTTCTTTTTTTTTTTTTTTTTCTGAGACAGGATTTTGCTATGCTCTTTACACTGGCCTTGAACTCCCAGTAATTCCAGGCGGGCGCTGTGCCGCTGAGTTAAATCCCCAGCACCTGAACTCCCAGTAATTCCCCTGCCTCTAGAGTGCTGGGATTACAGGCACGGGCCACCGCAATAGACTCCCAAGTGAGCATTTCTAATGCACCTAAAATAGGATTTGCTTTACAGATCAATTTTGAATTCCTTTTAGTAACCCTTCTGGAGTAAAGATACTCAACTGAATTTATATTCAGTGAGTTTGGCAATTTATAGTTGAACTATATTTGATACTTAACCTATTCACATTGGAACCTTTTGGACCAAAATGCTCTTTCCACTAGATTTTAAAACCAAGTATGCCAACATAAATTGCTAATAGATGTGCAGTATCACTTTAAAACATAATTGTAGGCAGGGCATGGTCCCTTGTCTCTAATCCAGTACTCAGGAGGATGAGGCAGGAGAATCTCATTGAATTCAAGGCCAACCTGGGCTTCACAGTGAGTTCAAGCTCAGTCTGAACTATACAGCAAAACCCTGTCTCAAAAAAAATTAACAAAACCTTAATTTGTATTTCATTTAAATAACAAAGTTATTGTTTTTCCTAATAACTTGAGCTATTAGAGTAAAGCAGCACATCTATTCAGTGAGACTGCATCTGTGCTTAACGTTGATGAAATATCCTATTATATAATGCAGTTAGATGGCTTGGTGGTTTTTGAAATTTGGGCTAATAAAGAGTACATGTTTAGCAAAGAGAAGAAATACAGCTATTGTTATTCTCGGTAAATATGATAGATTTAAACCCTAGTGACTATGGTAGGTGAAAGATTAACCAGTGTTCTGTTGCTTAAAAAAACAAAACACCTTGGCAGCTTTATACCAAATGGGTAACCAAAACTGATAGCCAAAAGTTTTATAGCACTCTCTAAAGATTTGTATGTACTTTATATCTTTGCAGCTAATATTATTCATAAGAAGGATGCAAATTGTGATTTTTGTTTTTGTTTTTGTTTTTCCGGTACCCGGAATTGAACTCATGGACCTCGCGCTTGCCAGGCAGGTGCTCTGCCGCTGAGCTAAATCCCCAGTCCCGCAAATTGTGATTGAAGATAACATTTCTCTAGTATATTGTCCTGTGCCTGTACTTAGAATTTTGATGCAGTTGTTAATGTGGAATTTGTATTAAGTACTTTGAAATAAGCCCAGCCTAAACTTTTTTTTTTAATCTTAAGCTATTTCATAGGTAAACTCTCTTCTTGGGCTGACATCTGAAATTTTCTTTGCCATTTGGGATTCTTATTTTTTTTTGCCATTTGGGATTCTGATGTGTTAGCTTCTCTATTTCTTGTAAGATGTATTCCTCTGCAATGCAGAGGGCAAGGATACTTAGTTTTGTATTCACCTTGTCAGAATGATACAGTGCTCAGTGTGAGGTGAGGACAGGATTACTTTTTGCATTCACCTTGCCAGGGGGAGAAAAGTAAAAGTGCTTAATTTGTTTCCGGGTGTCTGTGTCCGTGTGAGGGAGGGAGGGAGGGAGGGAGAGAGAGGGAGAGAGAGAGAGAGAGAGATTGAGATTGAGATTTGAAAAGGTTAGGTTATGAATTTCTCCATGGGACAGTATTGGTACTTTTTTCTAAAGTTGAGAGTGGAATCCTAAATATTGCAGTGAGAAGGATTTGTTTTTATGTAGCCAAACTATTTTACTCTTAGGATATTCTCATTTGATTTTTGTTTATATTTTGCAGTGCTAGTGGTCAGGTTCTTGGTTTTCTTCTAAGCGATGCAAAATTCCCAGCCCATCTTGTGGCAGGCATTTGAATGAGACTGTATTTTTGTGATTTACAGGTGAAGTGTACAATTAGCTGTAATGCTAAGTTTTAACTTCTTAGTTTTGTATTTTGGGCTATGTGAAGCTTATTACTGTTTCATTTGTTAAACAAGTGAATATTTTTCTTTGGAAAGGTTAAACTTCACAGCAGCTTTGTTGTGGCCTTATTTATATTACTGTACTGTTAAAAGAATCTCAGATTTTTGTTAGAGCTTAAAGCCACCTTAGAATTTTGTATAACTCTCTTTATAGAAGAGGAACTAGAAAAGCTTATATAAAGTGAATCAGGTTGAGATGGGTGAGTTCTAAGGTCTCTTGTACTGTTTATGAGGGCCCCTTATGAGCTCCAGTTTTGGTTCTTAGTGTTTAATTATTGTTGATCCATATAAGGCCTTTTACTTCAAATCTTTCATTCTCATTGATTTTTCTATTTTAAAGAGCTGAATATAAAAAGTTTTCCCTTTTTTGGGTTAGATTTTTACTGTTTCATTGCTGAACTTTGTAGACTGTCCATTATTGGGGTCCTGAGAATAGCCATAAGGTAAAGTGTGTTAGGTGTTACTGGGACGTGTTGTTACAGTGAAATTAACTTTTAAAGTTCAAAGTGTAATGTTTCTCTTTATGCTTAAGCCCCACTGCACATCTGCTAGTCTCTATTCAAGT